CAGTAAGACATAATGGATTAAGAAAGCCAGTGTGATTGTCAGTAGCCTTATTAAAGTTTCATGTGGGGCCAGATAGCCGTCTCTCAAGAGATCTGAGCTAGAGGCACAGAAGTGACCCTGTGGGCCAGTCTCACTGTGCTCCTGTATTTTTGTCAAGCACCCTTGAGGTATTACTCCGATCAGTTAAGTTTGAGAAGTATTTGGACATATGTGAAGTGACCTACCACGGGATGTGTCACTATGCAAGGGCAGAGGGTAGTGCATGGGAGTCGCGGGGACCTGGGGTCAATCCCATTGTGTCGCTGGGTTAGCACCAAAGCCTCTCCTGTTTGTAGAGCCACAGAATAGTAGTACAGAGTGCTGTAGGGACGATGAAGTTAGAGAGCATGAGAAAAAAAGTCTGTCCATTTAAAACTGAAGCTTTACAGTCTGTAGAGTAGAAAATACAGTCAGCCAGAACCAGACGCCCGCCACCTAGTAGTTACCAGCATTATTAGCACACACCTTTTTTGGGCCTGTAAATTTTTTTACAGAGATATAGTTCACATGCCATGAGGTTTACTCTTTAAAACATACTCTTTTACTTACAAATGTAAGACCACGCATTGTCTACTGTGTGCTTTACAACCTAACATTTTCTGTTTAATCCATAATGAGTAGTTTCCCTTCATCAGCGGTGTTTGGAAAAAGTTTGACTGTTTCATTGTATGCTATAATTTAATTGGTTCCCTTATATTGGAGCATTTAAATTGTCTGCAGTTATTTTACTGATATGAATAATTTCATAGTAAGTATAGTTATTTTATAAGTCTTTGCTTAACTGGTTGTAAAATAATTTTCTAAACTTGTAATCATGAAATACAAACACTGATACTTCTTAAGAGTATTATCAAATTGTCCACTAAAACAAAGAATCTAATGATTCTGTTTCCTGCCTAACTGGAAATTTTCTCGTCAACTTTTCAATAATAAATTGTTTGATTTCATTACATTTATCAAGAAGCACTACTTTCAGATTTCAAGAGCACAGTTTTACCCCAGAGTAATAAAGATGGACAGAGAACATCACCCCCTTTCTGAGTAGCATATTTAGTGTGTAGAGCAGTGAGTTACAGATGGTATTTCCATATCTGCCCAGGAGGAAGCTGGATCATGTTCGTCTCCCATCCTTCACTCTTCTTCCCCACGCCATCCTCTTCCTTTCTTTTATATCTTTTTATTAAGATTTTTCATATGAAAGAAAATGTTTGTCTTTCTGAGCCCGCTCTAACTAATATCTAATATGATGCTCTTCAGTTCCTTCCATTTTCTTGCAAATGACACAACTTCTTTGTGGCTTAAAAAGGTGTCATTATGTATCTGGAGCATGTTTCCTTTTCCCTTTTATCTGGTGTGGACACCTAAGCTGGTTCTATACTGTAATGCAGTGGTAAACATGGAAATTCAAACGTTTTCAAAGCACAGGAGAGTGCTTTATAAAGTCAGTGTGCAAAACTGTATCAGCTGTGAAGACTTGCAAGGACTCTAAGGAGTCTTGTACCCCCTTACTCCTGCTGAACAGAAAATCAGTTTTCTCAAGGCACTTGAGGCTGGTACAAGAGTACCCAGCTTCACAGTCTCTTGATAGATGACATTTCACCCTGGGCTTTTTGAAAACACGAGCACAGAAGTACACCCTTGAGATGGAGCCTAACAAGGATATTGTCAGCTGTCACCCTGCAAGGTGGCAAATAATTTGAAACTTACTTGTCCCCTGGTACATCATCATCACATCCCTAAATGGGGACTGGCTGCATTTCCTACCTGAAGAACAGGTGTCCTTTGTAATCTTTGGGACAGACTGCATCTCCCTTCCAATGCGGGAATGTTACCACCCTTCTCGCCTAAGTTCTGCAGACATTTCTTTTGCTTGTCGATCTGCTCATTGTCATTGCACTCACTGCTGCCTCTCACACTGCAAAAACAGCTATCAGACACACTGTTTCTGTTTTACTTTTGTGTTTATTTCAATGGGAAACTGATAGTTTTACTGTTCATCTTTCAAAGCTCATTTCTCAACATCAGGTTGTACTTGTTTGGGAATATAACGGCAAGGAAGTGTTAGCCCAGAAGACATACGTAGTGCCCAGAACACGGCAACCTCTTCCCTTTGGCAGTTGAAGCATTTCACTGAGTTCCCACGTTGATTCTACTGTGTTCATAAAGCAGAGGCTGGTCCCAGGTCCTGCCTCCATGCTCTTGTGACCGAAGAGTGGTGTGGTGGCACATCAGGCCACAGACCAGCCTGGTGCTTATAACACCCACTCCTCTGTTTCATGATCAGATTCCTCTGTACAGATCAACAGACCTTGTAATCAATTTGAAATAACCAGTGTTTCTATTTTAATTTTTATTCACAGCAACAAAACTAATAAGTCAGTTCTGTGAGGAAGAGTCCATAGTTCATTACTGTCTTCACTTGGCTCAAGTTGGCCAGTACCTGATTTTTCAAAAATCTGGTTGAGAATACAAAATTCCAGTGCCAGTATTATCACCTAAGTCCTCTTGCTCGTTTGTTTCATATGTAAGACGAGGATAACACTATATCCAGAAGCCCAGGATCTAGAAGAAATGTTATGAAATTTAACTTTTTTTGTTCAGGTATTAATTCCACACTTCCATGCTGAGCACTCCACCTACACAACTAAGCAGATATGAGGTCTCACTTCTTCAGGAGCTTTTATATTATCCCTCATGACTTTATTGTTGTATTGTTTAAAGTCCAAAAAGGGGATCTAACTATCACATAACAGCCACCTCAGACTCCTGACCCTCTTCTGCGTCACACTGCCAGTTACTGCTGCCTCGCCTGCTTCCTGAGTAGAGTGTGGTCTCTTTCAGAAACTGGTGGGACTGAAATAAAATAGGCATGGGAATGAACTTTGTCACATAAACTTTAAGAAAAGGCATTAGGAGATCGAGAGGATGACGCACACCAAGGCAGGAGGTCTAGGCCAGCCTGAGCTACATAGCAAGGCTACCCTTCAGGAAATAAAAAGGAAAAGCATTATGATAAATTTGAATTATGATCAATTTCTTTTAAGTAAATATTTTGAGTTTTAATTAAAAGCCATAAAACTACCTCCATAATTATATGCCTAATTAAGCTGTTAGATTAAGAGTTAAAATACTCCTGGGCATGTTGCCACACATACTCATGAAACAAGGCAGAAGGGTGGCTGATTTCAGGTGTACCTGTACTACAAAGCAAGTTCCAGGACACCTGTCTCAAAAGCAAACAAAAAGCTAACATATATATATATATATATATATATATATATATATATATATATATATATAATATTTAACATATTATATATAATATATATTGCACCATTTTCTAGAGCAAGTAATCAGCATTATATTACATCTTATACACACTGTATTACAGACCCTTGAAATGTAGATTAGATAGTAATTTACCTAGCTAGTAAGATGCTATGATGGCACCTGACAATCAAGAACTTTCACTCACAGGCGCATAATGCTCAGCAAAAAAATTATACTGGGATAGTAGCATGTAACCTCACAGATATGATCATAGATGTTTCTACAACTGCACAGTAATATTCATCACTAATTTTGAGGTAGATAATATTTATTATTTCTAGGGTTTTTTTCCCTCTCATTGATATTTATTGTCTTTTCTGGATTTGGAAAATCCTTCTGGAACCCACATAAGGAGCCAAGTGCACACATCTGTAATTCCAGCACTTCTACAGTGTGATGAGAGGGGAGACCAGAGAACCGCCCAAAAACTTGCAGGCCAGCTAGCCTGGAGTACACACGGAAGCCAAAGCATGAGAGACCTGCCTCCTTAGCAAGGTGCTGAAAGGGGCTCTTGAAAGTTGTCCACTGATCACCCTGCAAATGCTGTGGCATGCACACGCCAACACTCACAAAAATAATAATAGTAATAATAATAATAAATTTTTGGGGGAGAGGCTTGAGACAGGGTTTCTCTGTGTAGCTTTGGAACCTGTCTTGGAACTCACTCTGTGAACCAGGCTGGCCTTGAACTCACAGAGATCCGCCTGCCTCTGCCTCCCAAGTGCTGGGATTAAAGGTGTGCACCACCACCACCCAGCTAATACTAAAGTTTTTAAGAAGGATCCTGAAAACCTGAAAGAACTTTAGGTCTCTGTTGTCTAATTGACATTATGAAGAGCAACTAGGACAGTCTTGGTCAGCTCTCAAACTGGGCTGGAAAACGGTACACTTGAGAGAGCATCCTCGGATCCGGATGGAGCAGGGGAACTCTCCAACACTACCCTATTGGTATGACTTCTTTGAGTCAGTGAAACCAAAAGACTGATTTTAAAAAACAAGTCAAGCCGGGCAGTGGTGGCGCACGCCTTTAATCCCAGCACTCGGGAGGCAGAGCCAGGCGGATCTCTGTGAGTTCGAGGCCAGCCTGGACTACCAAGTGAGTTCCAGGAGAGGCGCAAAGCTACACAGAGAAACCCTGTCTCGAAAAACCAAAAAAAAAAAAACAAGTCAAGAAAGGCGGGCGGTGGTGGCACACGCCTTTAATTCCAGCACTCGGGAGGCAGAGCCAGGCGAATCTCTGTGAGTTCCAGGCCAGCCTGGGCTACCAGCTGAGTTCCAGAATAGGCGCAAAGCTACACAGAGAAACCTTGTCTTGAAAAACCAAAAAAAGAAAGAAAGGAAGGAAGAAAGAAAAAGAAAGAGACTCGTGTGGCACAAATCAATGCACAGTGCCCACGAGGAATAAAGACTCTGGGATTTCACATGTGTAAGACTAAAAATTTATCTTGCAGAAAACTATACTATCTTTGTGTTCAGATTCAGAATTCTTTGGCTCCTGATTTTACATTAAAGATATTGACTGCTTTATTTCTTACGTAAGGTGTTTGTTTTAAAGATCATTTTCTTCCTTAATGCAGTCTGAGTTTGTGGAAGAAATGTGAGTGCTAAGTCATGGTTCTTCTTTGTTGTAGGTAAAACACTAGTCAAGAAGCTGGCAAGAAAGGTAAGCATTGCTGGGGCTTTTATTTTGGGGGGTGACCTTGAAAATGAACTAATATACCTTAAATTGAAAGTTTTTAACTTGTGTATTCAAAGGATATCGAGGATGTACTATCAGGAATCCAAACAGCACGCTGTGGATCAACTTTTTTTAGAGACCTGGGTGATAAAGGTAATTTTTAATCATTACTAAATTTCTATGTATAAATTTTATTTAATTAAGTAGTATTAGATAATTAAACTGGGATATTTATACCATGTAATTTAACTGATGTTTCATGGCATAATAAATGATTAAGAGATAACTTTCTCAAATTTTTTAAGCAATTAAAGATAAATTATTAGAACATCAGTGAGTAAGTCCTAGAGAAGGAATAAGGGAAAGTGGAGAGTAGGGGATGAGGCCAGTGTGGAAATCAAAAGATGGCCTCAGAGAACCCTGAGGAGTACTGTGCAAAGAGGCCATAAAAAGGCCAGGCAGAATGGCCAGAGGAAAACGCTAAGAGTGTTTCACAGAGGCTGAAAGAACATGGTAAAGAGGAGAGTTAGGCCAGGCATGCAGATGCACACCTGGAGTACCCTGACGCCTAAGTTTGTCAAAAGATTGTCTTGCACTGATTGAAATGATGATGTGATTTCAGTCTTTGAGTCTGTATGACATATCTTGGTTTACATATGTTGAACCATCCTTGAATCCCTAAAATAGAACCAACGTGGTCATAATGTTTGTGCTCCTTAATACGTTCTTAAATTTAATGTGCAAATTATTGAGAATTTTTATGTCTGTTTATCAGGAAAATCGGTCTTCAGTTTTCTGTTGCTGCTGTGTGCTTATGTGGTTTTAGTACCAGGATTAAGACCAGCTTCTCACAGTGAGGTTTGCAGTTTCCTTAGCTTTCTGCTTCGTGAGTAGTTGGCAGAGTGTTAGTGTTGCCTCTTCCTGCGTAGGGTTAGTGAAGGGAGGGAAGGAGTCTGTGTGCTGCTTGCTGTGAGAGCCTCACGCTTCAGTCTCCTTGCTTGGTAGAGCTCTGCATAAACGAATTCTGTCCTCCTGATTGACTTTGGTGGGTACCTGTGCTGTGGCTTCGCTTCTATTGTTTTTGGAATACGAATTTTCAAGGTAGTCCTTCAAATGATCTTTTGGGTTCCATTGGTGTCTGTTGTAATGTTGCTGTTTCATGTTTAATTGATTGATTGCATCCTCCCTCTCTTTTAATTTGACCAATAGTTTTTCTCTCTTGTTTATTTTCTAAAAACTTACTTTGATTCATTAAGTCTTTGTATTGTTCTTTTAGTCCAGCTCATTAATTCTACCCTCGTATTTCTTACTATCTACTGCTTTGGGGTTTGTCTCGTTCTTGTTTTTCGAACACTTTCAGATGCTCCTTTAAGTCACTCAAGATATAAGATGACTGTTTCTCAGTGTATATGCACGTGCTCATGTGTGAAGTTGCACATGGAGACCTGAAGATAACCTGTGGTGTCATCCTCAAGAACACTGTCTACCTTTTTGAGCCATGATTTCTCATTGACCTGGAGTTCACCAATTAGTCTAGACTAGCCAGCCAGCCCAGGAGGTCTTCTTGTGACAACCTCCTCAGTGCTGCCATTACAGCATGCTCCTCTGCCCTGGGTTTTTACGTGGTTGATGGTGAGCCCCACTGTGATTTCCTAACAGCAATCATAGTTAGAAACATTGCAGATACCTTATCTGTATTCTGATAAGTGTGCTTCCACTCTGACTTGATTTGAGGGAAGTTGACATTTTCCTTCCTGGTTTCTTCGGTGACCCAGTGATTTGTTACCTAAGAGTACACTGTACAGTACAGAAATACTTGTATAGTTTCAATAGGTTCTTTTGCTGTTGATTTCTACTCTTACTGTACTATGATCTGGAGAGATACAAGGAATTATTTCACTTCTCTTATATTTGTTAAGACTTGCTTTACGGCCTATGATGTCATCTATTTTAGAGAAGTACTCAGAAGAATGTTGGATAGAGTACTGTGTTACTGTCTCATTGGTCCGTTTGATCTGTGATGCTTGAAATTCATTGAAGAATCTTCAGTTAATTTGCTCTTACAGGCAACCAGGTTTCAGTTCCCAGCACCCATCCACAGCTCCATTTCCAGGGATCCAGTGCACTTTGCTGACTTCTGGAGGCCCCAGGAATGCAAGTGGTACACATGCATTCATAAATGCAGATAAAACACTCATACACATACAATTCTTAAAATACTAGAAAAAGACAAAATATTAATAAAAAAGAATAGTATAGAGGGGAGAGAGGAAAATACAGTAACAAAAGATGAAGTGTCAGAGAGGCTCTGTCTGAGTACTGCAGGACCGGAGTCTGCAGTGGGGTCAGGGGCACTGTCAGTTGAACTTGGAGACTTCTGTCACGCTCTGATTCACACTGGTGTGAGGCTGGACTGGACAAGGGTTAGAAGTCAGCCAGGGCAGTCTTCACTTAGGTAGCTTCCCTTGGAGTATAGGGGCCCTCTGCTGGCCACAGTTAGCTTTGCAGACTGTGGGCCAGGCAGGTTTTCCCGTCCTCCTGAGACTTAGTTGTTATCCCAAGGAGCCTCCTACTGGAGGGCATCTCCCAAGTGTGTTGGGAGTAAAGGAAGAAAACACAGCACTGAGATCTTTCCAGGCAGACCTGTCCCCTTCACCTTCAAACCCACTAAGTAGTAAACACCCTGCTGGAGGGCTGCAGCTGTGGACAGGCAGTTCCCTATAGCTTCAGAACTCTTAGTCTCTACAGCAGGATCCTTGTGGCAAATAGATAGCTCTTGAGGTTGACCTCCCCACTGGCCTCAAGCTTAGTGCTGTCAGACCCCAGGGTTTTCTCATTCGATGAGGTCTGCCCCAGCCGCCAAGAGCAGCAGGACTTCCTCCTGTGTCTTCACTGCCTACCCCAGCCCCCAGCCACAGTCTTTGGTGTGTAATCATCCCTTGTGCTCAGGCCTCAAAGATCAGTCTTTAACAATAGGTTCCTGGTCAAGATGGCACCCAGCCACAGCCCTCTAAGTTCCATACTGAGGAGTGACAGTATGGAACTGCTCACCACTGTGGACCACGCTTTCTCTCCGAAACCTAAACTGGACGGAGGTTTCTGAGAACTGTGGGCTTGTGCTGTGAGCAATATTGCCAGTCCCTCGCCATGGCCTCCTGCATTTCCTTCCAGATAGGCTTCTGCTCCCCACCCCCACACTGGAGCTGTACCGCTGGAACTCTGTGTGGCTGAGTCAGCCATGATTTCTCCACGCTATCCTGTCACCCTTGGTGGTTTCCGGTGCTGTCCCCTTCTCCCTCTGGAATCCAGTCTGTTCTGTTTGGTCCTGGCTCCTCTCCTCCATCTTTCACATAAACCAGCTGCTAGCCCATTTTTGTCCTGAGCACTTGATACTTAGAGTGATATAGGTCAGTGAGGGGTGAGATAGGAAGCCATGTTGCAAATTTTTGAGAAATGGGTGCCATCGTGAGACAATTTAATGAAGCCTAGTTGAGAGACCTGGGCATGAGCAGGGGGGAGGTAGAAGGAGGAAGATGGGGATGAAGACAGATAGTGAGGGCATGTTAGTCAGTCATGATGGAGAGATATGAGCACATTTCTTATTGATGAGAGAAAAGAGAGGGAGGTTTGAACATGATGAAATCCTAGAAAGAAGGAGAAGAGGGATTCTTTGAAAGCCAGAGGGAAAGACCATCGTTCCACTGGCCGCTAGCTTTTCTATTGTCCCAGGAGAGAAGAGTGAATAGATGATGCCCATCTGATGTACTGTGTTGGTATCGAGTACTGGGGAGCAGCCTGGACAAGACAGAATAGTGGAGTGAACTATAGAGAAACAAAATAATTGTGAAAAGCTGTAAGCAGAGATGTAGTTCATGAAGATTAGAGCCACTGGTCAGCTGTGTGATTATCCTGCATCTCCCATGGAGCAGTAGAATACTGCCCTTGAATTGAGTTAGGGTTATATTGGTCAAGTAGAGGACAGTCCTGGAGGAAGCCATTGAGAATATTGACTACTAGAGAAAGTTTGACTAATTATCCACGGACCCTAAACAGGATAGTAGAAAAGAAAGTCAGATAGGAAGGAAGATGAAGAGAAGAAAGTTAAAAAGTCAAGAGAAAGCTGCCAGTGAAGTTGGAAAGCATACATAGTGGGGAAAGAGTAGTTGGTTTGAGAAATGAACATTTAGAAATTTTCAAAATAGCTCTAGAGGTATGGCTCAGTGCAGAGCTCCTGGCTAATGTGTGAGGCCCTGTGTTTTATCCCCAAGTCCACAAAATAAAAACTTGTATGCGTACCACTGTACATTTTAGTAAATAGTAATTGATAGCTGCTTGTATCCATTTCTGTTCATTCCTTGGTATGTCAGTATGTAGCAGGCAGCACAGATTTCATTATGTTGCTTATACTGAATTACCCAATAATCTTTACACTGTAGTAACCCCTATTGCAGCAGCTCTCAACCTGTGGTTGTGAAAAGATCGCATATCAGATTTTACATTGCAGTTCATAACAGTAGCAAGATTACAGTTATGAAGTAGCAACAAAATAATTTTATGGTTGAGGTTACTACGATGAGAACTGTATTAAAGGGGCGCAGTATTAGGAAGGTTGAGAACCACTGCCTCCCAGTTGGATCCCTCCCAATCACAGCACCAGAATAAACCTATGAGCTTTAGAGGTAATAACCTCCTACAGTTTTCATATTGGGAATTTGTAGGGATGTATGTGTCATGAGTCAGCACAGTCAGTTCTCCTGTGTTTGTGACCAGGAGGACGCAGGGATAGATAAACTCTGGCACTCACACTGTCTCCACTGTCCGTTATCTCCGCAGGGATTCCAGAGTCTGGTGCATTAACTAATAATGAAGTCTAGTCATCAGAGATAGAAAAAAGTTGAGGAGGGGTTAAACAGGGAGTTTGCTTGCTTGTTGTAGTTTTCTGTTGAAATCTATATTTCCAAGGAAGAAGGAAAGGCTCACCCGTACTTCACTGCTAATGTTAATAAAAATGTGTAAAGAACAATTTGAGATACTGCATTTCATAAGATCAGTCACAATTTATAACATAACCAACAAAAGGTGGAATGCTCTTGAGATGGAAGAGAAATATTCACTATGTATTAGAAAGAAAAGTATAAGTTTTGCTTATTCTGAATTTTTAAACTGAGCTAGAGTCTCAATATCACACTTGCCTCAAGGATGTTCTGACCATAAGTTACAAGACACATTGTTGTAAGATCCCCATGAAAGAGAGAGAACCCAGCCACCTTGGGAAATACTGTTCTCAGAATGCTGCTACTGAACAGACCATGCTTGAGTGTGGTTCCAACTTTAAAATATTTCTGAAAGTGTAGGAACCGTTCACTCATCGTTCCTAGTAGCCCTTAAAGATCCTTTATCAAACCTTTAAAGGTAAGCTTTAGAGACGTTCCCGTTTGGGCTGGGGAGATGGTTGGTGGTTGAGAACACTGACTCCTCTTCCAGAGGACACAGGTTCAATTGCTGGCACCCACCCGGCGGCTCACAACTGTAACTCATGCGTATGGTGCACAGACATGTGGGCAAAACACCAATACACGTAAATAAAAATTTCCTGTTTATCATGCAGCTTTGAAACTGCACTCCGTTACAGCACTCAGTTTCCCATTCCGAGTAACAGAGAGGCGCCGAGCTGTTTTCCTGCGTGTGCCCTCAGATGTGTGTCTCTAGAAGTGCATTCTGAGGCAGCTACAGGGGCGCTGCAGGGCTCTCTCTTGCTTGTCCTGCATCTTGAGCACAAGCTGCTGTTTTTACCCTTTCTCAACTGTGCTTATTTAAACCTCTTACTGAAGTCAGTGTTTCAGAGAAGATCGCTGGGATTTTCCTTTTCAAAAATCATCTATGCTTAAAGGACATTTACCTGTGTTTAAAGACAAGAGAGGTCTCCTTTGGCGCCAAGCCCGGGACAATCTACAAGTTGGCCTTTTTCCCCCTTTGCTCTATTCCTTTGAAATATAGAAAAACACTATTTTCTACTTTTTTTCAGGCTGCCAAGGGATGAAATGCTTTGATCCTCAAACTAACATTAGAGCACTTCTGCCAGGAGCAAGATATGACAAACACATAGAATTTATTCTCCCTTCATGTAAACATTGAACAGTCTTCAGAAAGAAGTGTCCGAAGACTGACTACATGTCCTCACTCTGAGAGAACACAACTGCTCTCAAATCAAGTAAATAGAGAGCATTTGAGTATTTACCTGTGAGGCTTTGAAACAATATGATATGTAGGATTTGTTTCAGAATAATCTAGTGAGAGGTGGGGATTAAAAGACAAAATAAGGCTCACAAATTGATAATTATTAAGTTTGGGTTTCGTTATATCATTATCTAATATAATATATAAGTATCATTCTGTGTAATTTTATCTGTCGTTGAGTTGTTCATGATAAAGTGTGTTCAGTTGTAAATTGTGCTTCTGATCCAGAGACAACAGTTTTATTTAGTGACCAAATACAGAGCTTGCCCTAAAGCTTCCTTAATTTGGAGCTTAGACATACCCAGTACCCATCTTTCAAACCTCCCGGTTAAATATGGGCTCTCAGGCTCTAAATACTGCCTTGTGTCAGTTCCAGTCACTTGACCCATAGCCTCATAGTCCTGAGTATAACTCTCACATCATCGAGAACACGCACCATCCTCTCCACAAAAGAAGTCAGTGATCCAGCATCCTCAGTAGAAATCATGCAGTACCACTCAAAGTAGCCCAACTTCAGTCATGAATTATCCCTAAACCAGTCCCTTAGAACCACACTCCTGCAACTTGTTTACCAGCTAGAGTCATTTAGGAAGAGGCAGTCTTAATTGAGAAAATGCTGCTATGGCAAGTCTGTAGAGCATTTTCTTTATTGATGATTGATAAGGGAGAACTCAGCTCACTGTGGGTGGTGGCACCTCTGAGTGATATAAGAAAAACAGGCTGAGCAAGCCATAGGGAGCAGGCCAGTAAGCAGCACTTGTCTATGGCTTCTGCTTCAGTTCCTGCCTCCAGGTTCCTGTCTCTGCTTCCTGCCCTGACTTCCTCATATGTGAGATTGTTATATAGAACTGTAAACGAAAGGAAACCTTTTCCTCCCCAACCAAGTTGCTTTTGGTCACGACGTTTTATCACAGCAATAGAAACCTAACTAAGATAGCATCCCTCCTTCAGCCTCATGGAAATGGAAGGAAAAGCAAGGCATCCCACCCAAACTGCATGTTTGAGAACGAAAAAGAATGGTTTCTCAAAGAGAAAGAAAGTTACTGCAACAACGATTGAATTGTTACATTTTAACTAATACAGTTTGAGTTTCTGTATCTCCAGAACTGTACTACTGTAATTTTAAATTTCCCTCAGTCAAGTGAGGTATTACTGGAAAACTGAGTCTAAATGGCACAACCTACAGAGGAGATGCTAGTGAGTTTCTGTTACTTGCTAAGCAGCATCTGTCAGGGTTGTCCAAGGAAGCAGAGCCCACAAGGAGACTTGCAGGTTTGTGTGACCTCTGTAAGCTGGAGACCCAAGAGCCAGGGTTGGATTCAGTCTCAGCCCAGAGTCTTGAGAGGCAGGAGAGGCAGGAATTGAAGTCCCAGTCTCAGGGTAGAGGATGTCCAGCGGGTAAGGAAAGGGGAAGGCAGGCCCGAATTCTTCTTTCCTCAGCACTTGCTGGACAGACTAGGTGATGCCCAGACGTTGAGAGCTCAGTCTCCTCTACTGAGTCTACCAGTTCATAGGCTGACTTCAGCTGGAGAACCTCATAGATACACGCAGAAAAATGTCCAATCCTTGCCCAGTCAAACTGGCACATAAGATTCACTATCATGACCTCCTTGCTGGAGGTAAAACTTGAAGCATGGTATCTTTCTTTTAAGCACTGGCTGTATTTCAACTCTTGTTATACAGTGCTTTCTACTATACCAGAGGGAGACTTAAAAAAAAAATCAGTTTTTACAAAGATGAAGTTTCAATACTGGTTATTTCCATGGTTCTCATCTAAAATTTATCTCCTGACTTGTTCTTATTTTTTCTCCTTCAGGGGTAATTTCATACACCGAGTATCTTTTCTTACTTACAATCCTCACAAGTAAGTATGCTAGTTCTCTTTACAACAGTCATGTGGCATTTGCATCCTGAACAAACAGGACTTGAAATGTGGTGTTTGTAGGTTAAAGTGATTACTATACAAACATGACAACCTGAGTTGAGACCCCTAGCATTCAGAAAAAAACAGCCATGGGGGTATGTACCTGTTGTCCCAGTACTGGGGAGTGGGACTCACTGGCTAGCCAGTCTAGTAAAATAGTGGGAAGAGCTCCGGCTTCAGTGAGAGCAGTAACCCAAGCTATCCACATCAGCCTCTGACTTCCACACATACATGCACAGACTCAAATGTACACACCACATACACATGAACCTTAATCTCTACATCTACAAAATGATAATGTTAAGTTAGAGTGTGTTCTTCTACCCCACACACTATGGCACCCTGTAACTTTATGTTTCTGAGACAGAACATTTACTGAACAGAAAAATCATGGTTAGTGTTGTCTGAAAATTAGAGAGAAAAATCATAGTCAGTGTTGTCTAAGAGAGAAAAAAGTCATGGTTAGTGTTCTCTGAGAAAGAAAGAGAAAAATCATAGTTAGCTTTCACAGGGAGAGAGAGAGAGAATTTTGTGTTTTGTTTGGGGAGATTGGTTTTGTTTTGTATAGAGTCTCACAGTGTGACCTGGCCTGGAACTCTCTTGAATTCAAAAAGATCCTCCTGTCTCTGCCTCCAGGATTAAAGGCATGGGCTACCATGTTTGGCCTCTTAGGGATACTTTTAAAAAAACAACTTTATTTGACATTGAACAGGATTCTTGACCTTCAAAAGTATTCCAGTGGTGGAAACTAAGAAATGATTAAGGAGCTCTCGTACGTGAATGAGACTGAGCAGACATGGTAACTAAATGCAGAATACTTTACATTGATTCTAAAACAAAACACAGCACTAGTGAAAATTATAAAACCTGCTGCTCATGGTTCATAATGCTGCACCAATGTTAACATCTTAGTCTCCATAAGTGTGTTGTGGATATGTAAAGTGTTAACCCCTAGAGGAAGCTGGCTAAAGGCTATGTGGGCATACATTATTGTAGTTGTCAAAAAGTGGTGAAATAAAAAGTTACAACTAGAAAGGAAAGTTAAAAAGAATAGTAATAATAACTGCTCTGAAAATAGCAGGAGTGTTGTGAGAATACAAGAAAGCCAGAGGCGAGGTGAATCAGCAAGTTCTCACGGTAAGCTGTTGCAAAGGGCGAGCAGGCCAGCCACAGCCCCCTGGGAGATGTTGAGAGGCAGGAGCTTCAACATCAAGTGCTGCTTGAAAAGAATCTTCTTAGCCAGGTGGTGGCGCACACCTTTAATCCCAGCGCTTGAAGGCAGAGGCAGGTGGATCTCTGAGTTCAAGGCCAGCCTGGTCTACAGAGCAAGTTCCAGTACAGCCAGGGCCACACAGAGAAACCCTGTCTGAAAAAAGAAAGAAAGAAAAAAATAATAAGAAGGAAAATATGAAACAGATCCTTCTTCTTTCTGTCTAGCTCTTGCTTATATACTTTTTGGTTATTTATTTCAAATTTGAAGTTTTTCCTAGCTACAAATGCTTAGCATTTTGCCAACAACGAAATAATTGTCCATTGTTCACTTCCTTGCAGAACCTCACACTGGGTTCCATGTTGCTTTTAAAATGCTGGATGCAGATGGCAATGAGATGATTGAAAGAAAGGAGTTTGTCAAGGTGAGCACATGCTTGATCGGGGTTGTCAGAACAGCTGGTGCTTGTGCAGTGATTGTGCATTTCCTTCAAAGTCAGAACAGTAGTCACTGTTTGCACATGAACTATCAAACCATTTGCATGTTTAAAAACTATTTTCTGATGGCTCAGCACTTCAGAGCACTCGCAGCTCTTGCAGAGGACCTGGGTTTCATTCCCAGCACCCACATGACAGGTTTTGACTGTCACTCCAGTTCCAGATCTGATGCCCTCATCTGACCTCTGCAGGCACCAGACACACATGATGCACAAACATACATACAGGCAAAACACTCGTGTGTGTGTGTGTGTGTGTGTGTGTGTGTGTGTGTGTGTGTGTGTGTAATATTTTATATATATATATATATATATATATGATTTGTGGCATTTATATATATATATTTATATATTTTATATATATATATAAAATAAAAACACTTTCTGAATACAGTCTTGGAAAAACTGACAAGTGACTAGAGCATAAGGTTCTAAAAGGAGAAATGACCTTTGACTGTCTGTATTTTCAGGACTTCAGTACATAATCATACATTAAAAAGGGCTTTATAGACCATGTATGTGCTTTAAAGAATACATGTTAGAGATGTGTTTTAAATTATTCTCATATCAAAAACAAATAATAGAAAGGGAAGCCTTTGTAAAGAATAATATGCCAAAAACTATGAAAGACTGTAAGTACAGCTAAGTGTGTAATAATATTTTTTCCAAGGATATAGTTCTAAACCTCCAAACAGTGAATTCCACTCTGTTTCCTAAAAGCTGGAGCTGATGTGAAAGAAATACCTCAGTGCAAACTGTTAGGTGTGCTCTGTCATTAAATGCAGAGGGAGAAAATGTGTATGGATCCCTAGAACGAATTTAGTAGATTATAGGCATCAATGATAAACCAGTGAGGATATGTGAATGACAAATTATGTGTGTACATACATGTCTGATTTGTGGCATTTTGATTTGTGGCATTTTGTTCAGTTGGTTGGTTGGTTAGTTGGTTGGGTTTAGGGGTTTGGGGTTTTGGTGGGTTTTTGTTTTTTTGGTTTTTTGCCAAGAAAAGGTTTCTCTATGTGGCTCTAGCTGTCCTGAACTCACTCTGTAGACCAGGCTGGCCTTTGCCTCCCTAGTACTGGTGTTAAAGGTGTGGGCCACTATGCCCAGCTGAGGAGGTGTAAAGCAAATAGCACTCTGTTTATTTATTTGTGTGTGTGTGTGTGTGTGTGTGTGTGTGTGTGTGTGTGTGTGTGTTGCTAGAAACAAGATGATGCTCGGTTTGAAGAACAAAATTACCATCTGCTTTCGAAGTTAAATACATGCGTAGCATATTACTTGAGAATTTTATTCCTAGATCTGTAATCAAAGAAAAGAGAATATATAGGTGAGTGTGGCGGCTCAAGCCTGTAATCCCAATATTTAGTAAATTTAGAAGGATTGCCATGAGTTCTAGGCCAACTAAGGCTATAGAGTAAATTCTAAACCAGCCTGGACTACAGTGAGAGACCAGTCTCAAAAACACAAAATAGCTAGCAAGTGAATCTCTGTAAGATGAAGGCCAGCCTGGTCTATACACCAAGTTCCAGGCCAGCTAAAGCTACGTAGTAAAACCTTGTCTCAAAAAATAGTGAAGATAGAAAACATATGTTCACCCAGGACCTGAATATGAATACACATAGCAGCTTTATTCATAATAACCCCAATCCAGGAGCAACCAAAATGTTTGTCAAGTGACTAAATAAATAAACATTGTTTATGTAGTAGAATTCCACTCAGCAGCAAAAAGGGACAGAGTATTAAGTAATCAACAATACGGATGAATTCAAATGAAAGAAAAAGTCCAAACTTACGGTTCTGTGTATATACAGTTCTCCATGTCTATACTCAAAGAAAGCAGACCCCCGGTTGACTCAGCCAGGAAGGAGTAAGGGTCGATCGATTGCCTACAAGAGGAAAGGGAGAGAGAAGAAATGCTGAACATACTTCAAGTTTTGATCACTGGTGCTTACGTGGCTATGTAAGGTGTATTTTGTTCTGTGTAAAGTACACCTCGTAAAATTTTTTGACACAGTTCCATACCATAACTTTGAAAATGGTTTATTTTGTACAAGAAACTATTACAAAGTCTTGGAACAGAGGAAGAGCAGAAAAAGACTGAGGTAGAGAATGAACTGTAAAAGAGTGGAACCCTCAAAAAGTAGGCTTGCCAATGCTTAGCATCTTTAGGAATGATCCAAAGTAGATGTGTCCATCCCAGCATGTAGGGAAACAAGGGTGGATGATAGAAAGCTGAGTAGGCTGTAGTGTGGCTGGTGGCTCCTCAGGGTTAAAGTGCAGAGACCATTTTACCGGAAGTGACCGGGAGTGGTTCTTCTGTTCATTATAAAAGTTTGTGGGGAGGCGGGGGGAGCATGTCACTTTTTAGAAATTAAGGCCCCAGGCTAGGGAGATGGTTCAGTGGCTGAGAGCACTGGCTGCACAAGCCTGAGGACCTGGATTCAGATCACCAGCACCCATATACAGCCATGCATGTCTATGACACCAGTGTTGGGGGATGAAGCTAGGAGGATCCTGGGAACTTGCTGGCCAGCCAGGCTAACAGAAACCAGTGAGAGACTCTGCTTCTAGGGAATAGGACAGAGTGACAGAAAAGGACATCCATCATGGTGCTCTGGTCTCTATACAAACACAGGCGCACACACATACTGCAGATATACATGCATATACCACATACACCTGCCACAGTAAATAAACAAAAATACCTCTGTAACAAACACATGATTAAGTTAAATGTCTGATTTAGAATGAAGGCTTTTTAGTTGGATAGACTAATTGACACTCCTTGTTACTTTTCTTGCCTAGATCTAGATGTATGTATGTATGTATGTAGTCTCTGCAGCTGCCAGTGTCGTTTGCTTTGAAGTGCAGCAAAGAGCACTCAGGAGGCTAAGGCCAAAAGATCACCAAGTTCACACCAGCACAAGCAAGACCCTGTCCAGAAAAAATGTCTCACTACAAAGTGCAGCAAATATGTAAAGGTACTTGGCAAAGCAATCTAAATAAAGAACCCTTATAGATTTTTATGATTTTTTTTCCAGCCATTACAAGTCTACCCTTAGGAACTAGTAGCAGTTTTATCAGCAGTATGCATTTATCACAGCTCAGAAGCCTTCTAGAAATAGTTCTCCTCAGTCTCATTTCCAGTGGTGGAAGTAATTGGATTGCCAAGAGCAGTAAGCAGAGTCCTGGAGAATCCAGAAAGCCCAAGAGAAAGGCAAGCAGATCTTGGAAAGAAAGGAGGGGTGTAGGGAGTGTTTAACACCGTTCCTTCTAGAGTGGTCGAATGGACGGGCTGAGTGGAGACATCTGAGGGTTTGTGGGTCAGCAGAATTACTACAGAAACATTTCAAAAGAGAGGTAAGTGGCCTGGATAGATAGCTCAGCAGTTGAGAGCATTTTTTTTTATTTTATTTTTTTTTGCTGTTGCAGAGGACCCAGGTTGAGCTCACAGAACCTAATGGTAGCTCACAACCATCTGTAACTCCAGTTCCAAGGAATCCTATGCCTTCTTCTGACATTCACAGGCACCAGGCATACACGTAGTACACATACATACATGCAGGCAAACCATTCATACACATAAATAAAATCATTTAAAATTTTTTCAAGAGAAGTAGAGACTGGAGAATAAATAGGAAATGCAAAATTGCTATCAATAAATTTAGGAAAGTACTTTGAGATTTTTTTTTACTTGTGTATGTATACATATACACATGCATGGTATATATATGGAGCACACACATGCCATGGGGCATGTGTCATAGGACAACTTACAGGAGTCAATTCTCTGTCTCCACTGTGGATCCCGTAGTTCAAACTCAGGTCACCAGGCTTGCCTTTGACACTCTGAGCCATCTCTCCAGCACCCGTTTTGAGATACATGATGGTTTAAAAAGGAACTTAAGTTAAAGCTAAGGAAGAAAATGTGCTTGCACACAGAACCTGAAGTGTCACTGCTGTGGTTTATAAGACACCACCGCCGTCCAGCTACTTCATCTACCTTAGAGGCAAGAAACAGTGGATGTCTGACTGCCCTTCAGGTAGAGAGTAGTGTGTATGACAAGGCCATGAGATAGAGAGTTGATTCTCTCAGGTTAATCGAGCTGTTAGAATTTGCACATGTGGGGCTGGAGAGATGGCTCAGTGGTTAAGAGCACTGGCTCTGGGTTCAATTCCCAGCACCCACATGACAGCTCACAACTGTCTGTAACTACAGTTCCAGGAGACCCAACACCCTCACACAGACAAATGTCCACATAAAATAAAAATAAACAAATAAAATATATTAAAAAGAATTTGCACATGTGTTATTCTCTGAGACCTGGATAAACTTTGTGATTTTATTCCTGGTACTCATGAAGCATATGTCTTTGGTAGTGGAGTTAGAGGTGATTTGCTTGCTTGCTTTTTTTTTTTTCTGGTTTTTGAGACAAGGTTTCTCTGTGTAGCCCTGCCTGTTCTGGAACTCTCTGTAGACTAGGCTGGCTTTGAACTCAGAGACCCACCTGCCTCTGCCTCCTAAGTGCTAGAATTAAAGGCATGCACCACCACTGCCCAGCTAGAGGTAATTTTCTCAGTATAGTGAACAAGACCCCTGCAGGTATCACCATCACAATTCCAAAGCCCAGAGTTATGTTGCACTTTATTAATGTTTGGGGGGTGACGTGAGGCAAAAATCACAAAGCTGGTAGTCAGGCATGGAAGCTCGTCTGAAATCTTGTCAGCTACCGAAGACGGTAAGTACTCAAGATGACTTCCAGACAGTGGTGACTAATGGCAGAATACCCAAGGTTGATCTCTGACCTCCACATGCACAGGCACCACATATAGAAAGAAAACAGAAACTATTAGGATGCATCACTGATTGTTTGAAGGCTAAGGATATAAAGCCAACCTTAGATGCCTATAGTGGGTTCTTAGTG